TGGAAAACTCTTAAAGAGAACTCAATATCTCTGTTTCGTCACATTTTACTATTAATTTTCCAGTCTTTACAGAAGAAAGTGTTATTTGATAGACTGGACGTAATTTATAGTCTTTCGGGGGAGAAGCACCACGCACGTTTACAACAGTCATCACGAGAAGAAAGAACGGGATTTCATTAAACCACTTTGTGTTTGAAATGCCTCATTATTTCACTTTCACATGGGACCGTACGCGAAAGCGCATCGGTATGATAGGATTTTTCACCCGAACTATAGTAAATGTTCCTTGATAAGAGTTCACAGTGAGATAGATATTTAGAGCATTGTGATCTTGCAATCTAAATAACAACTTTACAACAATTTAGTATAATGAAAAGACACTTTGCATCTCATGATCTAATGCTGCACCAGAGAAATATATCTATTTCAAAATGTGCTTCTATTTAATCGCATTACGTGTGTTCTGTGGAGATTTGCAAAATTAGCACTTGTTATTTTTACATGTAAAGATGCGAAATTAATTAACATGATGAATATAAAGAATAAGTTTTGCTATTCATATTACGAGATATACATTTAACTTTTCAACAACGGATTTTGAATTTTGAATTTTAAAAATAGTGTGGAGAGAGAGAGAGAGAGAGAGAGAGAGAGAGAGAGATGAAAATACTCGTCAACTCTCCGGGCCCATGAAATACACTAAATACAGATACATTCGAAGTTTGTTTTTAAATTAAAATTCAGAAGAGATTCGAGACCTATGGTGGGTAGATCAAAACATTTGTTTCTGTTACATTGATACACATAAATACAGTAATTGTCCATCTCTGTGAATCATGACTTAAAAGTGAATGGAGGGCAGGAAGGGGGGGGTGCTGTTAATCAAAACTTGCATGCTAATTATTATTCAGTGAATTTATTATCGTTAGAGGCCATGTCTCCATTAGAATAGGCTGTTTACGATATCGTAGCATTGTATAAATTAAATGTTATTGTGTATGAACTAACGTTTTTTTTATCTTTTAAACTGATTTCTATGTATTAAATTATCCAACAAATATTCCCCTCTCCCCCACTTTTTTTTTTCAAACATACAAATTTGAAAAATGCGCATATCATGGAAACGGAAAAATCTAGACACTTTGAGAATGTAATTTTTTTAAATTGGAATTATATAATGCATAAGTGATCTATGAAAGGAACTCTTCAGATTTCGCCGGTACAAAATAAAATATGGTGCATATGTTGAACTTTTGAATCGTTATATCAATAAATTCACATTTTTTTTTCAAAAATATATATAATTATATATATTTTCATAACAAATGTACAGATACTAGTTTTTTTTGTTCGGTCAAATTAAAACATGCTTATTTTATGTGGGTGTCATGTCATTTCATGACTTTTTATGCCGGGTAAATAAAGAAATATATGTTAAGAAAAGTCTTCGATCCAAAGATACTTCACTATTACCCATCCCATAGCAACAGCAAGGAAATTAGAAAGTTGGTACAGTGAATATTTATCAGCCGTAGAAAATGAACCATTTCAACTTGCTCCCACTCGGGAAAACACCGTGTATTTGATACTATCAGTAGAGCTATAAAACGAATAGATGATCCATTATTTTCATTCACTTAGGTAATTTGAGAGAATTTATCAATGAGTATGGAACTTTGAAAGTAATTGACTAGAAACTTGCAAGAATGCTGAAATTGCATGATCATTAAATTCTCAGTTGCTTTGACGTGGCATGTAACATTAATAAAGAAACTTTTTAAAGTTGTATGTAACGAACGTCACAAAATTTAGATCTTTCACGCTACTGTATTCTCGGGTGTCGCAAAATGCATGTACATGTTTTGTTAGAAGACGTAAGTATGAAGGATCTTATTTAAACTCGTGTTTAATAATAAATAAATCATTGAAATAATGCAATCATTAATTCTGTAGAAATGCATAAGGTTTTTTTCCTCACATCAAACAGTAACATGTATATATTTTACAGTTATCAAAACTTTACACGTTATATATTTTAACCTATCCCTTTTACATGTAAAAAAAAAAGTTTCAACATATTTTATCAGTAATTAGCTTAGATTTTTGTAAGTTAGATTGTCCTCTCCTATATACAAAGAATATAAACAAAAATGCTCGTTACACGAAAAATGTAAATAAATATATTTAGAGTGCGGGGTATGAAATGGTTTATAAGAACAGAAAAATATTGCAGAGGGAAGAGGGTTGTAGAAGAAAGAGAAATGATCATCAAAATCAGCAAAATCTTTTCATTTTTTTTTTAGATTTACTTGTGCAAAGCTTTAAAAATGTTTGATATTCAGGCGCCCCACAAATGGGTCCTCATGGAGGATAATATCAAGGGCTAATATTCATTTATTATTTCTTATGGTGTGAAATAAAACGGATCTTAACTCATTGTACATTTTAAAATGCAGAAAATAAATCTCGGTGTTTTCGTTAATTAACCCACAGGAAGACTGCGTTTATCTAAAGGACTTATTTTAGATAAATCCGATTTTATATTTATACATTGATGGTAAATGATAAAGTTTTAGCGTAACAAGATTTCATATTCCTTGAGAAATCGTTTATTTAAACCCAAATATATTTTTATTAAAATATTTTAAGTACGTCTTTCAGATTCTAGCATTTTATGCGATGTCAATTATGCGACGAAAGAGTAACAGTTATTAGCGGAGTACCAAGCTATTCAATGTTAGGAAAATCTGACCCTTTGATGTCTGTGATGAGTGTTTCGGACATCTGTCTATACAAGTTAAAGGCGACCCGTCGAAATGATTCTAGTGCTGCCATTGGTAGAAATTAATGACAGGCTTCAGCCAGCCCATCGTATGCAAAATAAGATTAACATGGTAACATTTCCCGCGAAAACTTACACTCTTTCAGAAATTCTATTATCCTGTGTTCTGTTGAAATCTCCGAACGTTCTCTATACATCAAGGTAAGATATCTTTTAATTTCTATTTTTTTTTTTTTTATGTAAAAGTAAATTAGATAGTTCATCGATTCATTAAAATCTCTTTAGTTCATGAGGGATCAAGCTTAAATAATTCTGAGGCTTCAGGTTGTACCACATTATCAAAATTTAGGACATCGTCTTAGCAAAATTGTAGAGCTTTAGATGTTAATTTATCATTTTAAATAGATAATTTAAAACAAACGTCGTGGAAGAAGTACTCCTGTTCACATTTTTTTAAAACAATACATTATATATACATTTGTAGTATATCTCTATGATATATACATGCAGAGAGCAAATATCTTCATTTTCACAGGCCACAGGTCATTACTTGACCTAATCACACTGCGCAATCATGCACGGATCTAGAAGGGGGGGGGGGGGGTCGGGACCCCTGGAATTTGCAGAGTTATTAAATATATATACTATTCCAAGTAAAATTGACCTTGGACCCCCCCCCCCCCCCCCGAAAACACGATCCCTCCTCGAAAACGCGGATCTATGTGAAATTGATATGAAAAGTCATAGCTATCTATGTGAAATGGGTATGAAAAGTCATAGGTATGAAGCTTTAAATGTCAACGAACACCCCCCACCCCCACCCCCTTCACGAAATAGGTTTTTCACGTTTGGGAAAAGAGTTGAGTTTTTTCTTTTTCTTTTTTTTTTTGTCTGTTTGTTTGTTTGTTTTTCTTTTTTAAAATATATTTCTTGGATGGAAAAGTTTTTTTTTTTGAATGGGGTGGACGGGGGGGAGGGGTCCACCCCCGTAAAAAATTCTTGGATCCGCGCCTGGCAATAATATCTACCGGTACATAAAATGACTTGTTTAATTTAACAATGAGCATGCTTTTCATGTATAAAAAAATAGGGATGGGTATAGCCAAAAATTTCATATCGCGATATATCACTTCAATCCTTATCATGAACTGCCATTTTTTTTACACAAGAAATTTGAAAATCTGTTGGAAAAATCAATGCATTGCAATCATGCCAGGAACAGCTGACAAACACTTCTGTCCCTGTTTCGGGCTGACACGCCATTGATTCAAAGGGGAATTCGTAAGGTATTTTGCTTCAGCCTTGTTTCGACGTACATGTAAAACTAGGGGAAAATTCTGGTGATTAGTGTTTTACATGTATCTTCACATTTAGAGTAAGATGGGGGAGGTTTTCTGAAAAGGGAGAAGTAAGTTTAGACGTTTGAAAAATAATAAAGTCGTCATGGTACGTGGTAATTAGATTCTTGATTTTCCGGCGGGGGGGGGGGGGGGGGGGTCAAGTAATAAATTTGAAATCAAGGTCAACTCAATAGGCAAAAAAAGGTGTGGAGGCTCATAAAAGTCTTTGGTGCAGAGTGCCAATATATATTTCATAGGAAACTTGAACTGTGCACATCGAATTAAAATGGACTTATATGTTAAGATGATAGAAAAGGAATAACTTTACTGGTATTTTTTTGTGTGCAATTCTTTTAAGCTTTAATGAAAAAAAAAAACCTGTAGAATTTCAAGTTGACACACACACACCTAAACAACCTCCCACACAATCCCACACCCTCTCTCTCACACACACAGACACCCTCACGCCCACACACCCACACTCACAAACATTAAAATACCATCTACTGGCCGTTTATAGTACAAACATCTTCACATTAGGTAATATGTAATTATTGTATGTAAATAGATTAGATTCACTTACTTTGATCGTCAACAGTAACTTCTATGTCCTTGCCATCAGTATCACAAAGAGGGAGTCTACTGTGCGTCGCAATTTGTGGGATCTTCTTTATAATAAAAAAAAATTAACAAAAAATCCGTCGGCATAATTGTAGAATGGCTGAAACATATCACTGGAAATCGAACTATTTGCCCTCAATAGTGTATTCGAATTCGATTGGCTATATCCCCAAAAATCACCAATCAAATTAAGAATAACTGTTTGACATGCGCAGAAATAAAGGAGCGGAAGTTAAATACTCATTCAAACATTTTGTTGCAGATCAAGAAAAACATGTATTGAAGATGAAGATCTTTTGCATTCAAGTGAAACTGTCAATTCAGGACTAGGTAAGATATATGATTTTGACTTAAAAAGCATGTGCCATTTGTACAAAGTATTTAAGTTTTAAAGAATGATTGAATGTTAAAAGTTAAATGTTCAGCATACATGTATTAAACAAGACAAGATATAGGTATGATAAATAATAATAATAAAAAAAAACTTGTAAAAGGGTGAATATATATACATATTTTTGGTCCTTTAATACTGGAAAATCGTAACGTTAAGACTAAAAGGACCGGCATTTCTTTTAAATTATACCAACATTGTACGTACTTAATGAATTTTTTTAATCGAAAATTTATTTTCCTGTAAGTTTTAATTGATTAATTATCAACTGAAATGAATTTTTAAAATCCTATAGTATGCCGTTTTGTTTAAATCTCTAAGCTTCCAAATTATGAAGATATCTAGACTGAATGTGTAACGAGAATTTTTGATTGCGCATTCGATAACTTCGGATAATTCCCGGCGTTACTGACATGAAACAGCCGAGATGTGTCGAATGAGTAATTGTTAATCCATTCCTTACCCTTGAGGTTATTTTTATCAGTGTCCATAAAACAAGAAGTAGTAAGGCTGATTTTTCCCATTAATATAATTTAATCCGCAACCATCGTTCTGTTCGCATCACGGAGTACACACATGTAATGAATAATGGTTCAAGGGATAATAACAACTGTGTAGATAGAAAAGACAATGCTTTCTGCCCTGTTTTAAAATTATTTTCACAAATGCCGCTTTTCTAATTTTAAACTGACAAAATGTCAGAAATACTCAAGCTGTAGAAAGTAGTTACAAAGAAGTGTCATTAATATTCATAATCTAAAGTAAGAAATAGGCTATTAAGTATTTTCACGTGCTTGATAAATATAAGAAAGAGTTAAGAATTTTTAGTAACCTTTTAACATCATACAAAACTTAATATTTCATTAATTATTCTTTTACGGACACACGTCTTTTAAAAGTTATTTTTATTGAGAATATTTCAGGAATATCCGTGGAAGCATTATTTTCTGTTGAACCCGTCCGTTTTAAGCAAATTGCTTTTCCATGAACGTATTTTTATATGCTACATGTATTTATATTATTCAATTCACTTACATGTAATATGTATATCCTAAAGACATAGCAAAATATGATCTATTACACCAGTATTAAGTTTCTTTTTTAAATGAGAACCCCCCCCCCCCGAAAAAAATCCCTCAAATCGATTAAAATTGGTACATCAAATTCCAGTCATTTTTCCTTTTTTTTTTCATCATCTTCGCTTTTCTATTATTTCCTTTAAAATAGAAATTTACCAAAAAATCGGCATGCGATGATAATCCCTAAAACTTATGAATTATGTTTTATCGAATACAGCCCGAGAAATTAATAACAGTTCTATGACAGGGAAAGAATTTACGACTTTGTAATATTAAAATATGTACAAAATTGTTGTTACATGTAAACTGGAATAGAGTAGTCAGATCAATACACTGTTTTACCGACGAAAGATTAACCTGTTTCACCTTTCAACAGTAACCAATGAACTCGTCCGTTGACAGTTGTGGGAAATTCTACGAAAAGGAAAAGCAATCGTCGGTAACCAACGGGTGAATCACGTCGAATTTCTCTATCTTGTGGACTGGTTTTGATAATTTGAAATTTTGTTTTGTTTCCTTGATACCTAACAAACGTGTGAATATGTATTCAATATGCCCGGAATAGGTACTCAGAATAATTACCGTGTGTGTTGTGTGTGTGTTTGTGTTTAAATAATTGATGTGTAAAGTTTTTTTTTCATAAATAGATAAATTATTCAGTATGCTTTCAAGTAAACATCATCTGTCTCCCTCAGCCGCGCTTACTCTTTCCTCGCATATTTAATAAGGCCACCTAAAAAATAATGTTCGTTGGACTTCTCACTCAAAATGAAATCGAAGTACCGATATTCTTCACTGTCAACCGGAACTAATCCATTTACTAAATAACAATGAAATGTAATGATTCATTGAAATATCTCGTAATAAATGTATAATCTTGGTTACAGATTCTGATACCCTAAAAGAATATGAAGCAGTGAATGAAAGAATGGGATTGTCTTGTGGAGTTTTAAAAAAACGATCGAATTTATGTTATACTCGATGGCATCGACTAAGATTAAAAACCTAAGGTAATCTCTCTCTCTCTCTCTCTCTCTCTTTCTCTCTCTCTCTCGACATTAGGTAATCTTTATATATAACGGACTCTTTGATCTGTTATCATGACACAGAGAAAAGATAGGACTGGACAAATATTTCCTCATATTAAGCAATACAAGTTTTTAAAGAAAAATCTGCCAAATCAAGTCTAATGCTCATTGTCATAATATAATAATAGGAAGTGGTGCCATATAAATCTATGCTTTGATTTTTAAAACATATTTACAAATTACGTTCATATGAAAAATGTTTGGTCTTTGTGAGGTAAAGCATTTGAACGCATGTAATTAATCAACAGTGTATTTCATACCCTATAAATGGAATTCGTTACAGGAACTATAATACAAAGTGACTTTACGCCCTAAAGTGGTAAAGAAACAATATTAAACAGCTATTTCTATTGACTTCTTCAAAATTGTCAAATGGACGATTTTTTACGCAGCAACTGGTTCACTAAGATGTCATAATTCTTTTCTTCTGCTGTAATAAAGCTTTCATTTTGTCAATTGAATGAGGATATTTGAAATAATAATCTGCCTGAGAATTATAATTTCTTACGCTCATCTTAAGGCAGGGCATATTTTGTTATGGCGTTTATGTTTGTCCATATGTCTGTCTGTTTACTTTTTCGTGTCCGGCTCATAATTTTTATACTATGAGCATAGAATTAAGAAACTTTGTTCGCTGGTACATCTTGTGTAAAAGGTGTGTTTCACTCTAAAAATAGGTCATTGTGACCTTTAATTAAGATGTTATTGTCAAGAAAGGGGAAAATCCTGTTCGGCTCATTACTAGATAACTTTTAGACCAAGAACCGTAATACTCGGCCATTTGATGCATCTTAAATAGAGGGTTTGTCGCATCCTATTTAAAGGGCACTTTGACCTTCATTTAAGGCAAAATTTAAATATATATATATATATATATATATATATATATATATATATATATATATATATATATATATATATATATATATATATATATATGTCTTTACATTTTAAATTATACAGTCCCAAAAGATGTAAGAATATTGCAGATATTTAATAAAATGTTTCATCAAGAAAATACACAGTTTTTTTCTCATTGCTAACTTTACAACAATTTTTAATAAATATAATAACGTTTTGCTTGTGTCAAAAACAAGAGAGAAATTCCACATTGGTGTAATTATCAAGCAGTTGTCAAGAAGAATTTTAATAACAAATTAGATGTTGAATTAGAGATAAATTAATGAGTTTCCTGTGAGGAATTAACTGGTAGAGCATCTCTGATCAGGCAGATGTTATCTAGATCTCTTGGGAATTAAGCAAAGGAATTTAATTGCTCAGTCTTGGATAAAATTATCTTGTTGTCTAGCCTCTTTCATAATAAATCCAGTATAAAGTAATGGAAACTAATTTGAAATTGTACAGTGTGATTTTTTTTTTAATATTGTCCAGCAAATGACAATGGTATTAATTGCTTAGATAAAGACTTTTTGCAATACACAAAGTCTGGAAAAGGGAACAAATCTGATGGCAATTTTGGCTGCTTAACGTCTATGAGAAATATTTGGGGGGGGGGGGGGATCTCCTGCAGGGTCTTGGTTTACTCATCTCTGGGACTTGTCCTAACCTCTTTTATTGGATATGTTTCCATTAGGAAGTACTGGCTCATTTTGCCACATTTTTAGAAAAAAAAATAAAGATACAAAATGCAGTTCTTTATTCATAGTTCTTACCTTTTTTTTAAGTATCTGAGGTCAAATTCCATGTTTACCCCATCACACTTCTCTGCCTAAATCTGTCCAGCATTATGCACAAATATAATAAATTTGTTTGGTGAATGTAAAAATTCAATTAATGGTTTATTTGATAATATATTAGATAGAAAAAATATCAAAGAATATGAATTTTACCACTCAAATGATGTATATTTTTTACAGGGTATTACAGAAGAGGAATAGAATATTACACTGTGGCAGTTGTTGAATACTTGGGAGTAATAGAGAAGAACAAGTAAACCTACTGCAAGACTTTTTTAGGAAAACTCGATGAACAATTTATCATGTCTAATATTAATATGAAGGTGGAGCTTAGCTCTTGCCATTTTGCCGGGAAATCTTTCTGATTCAGAATTGAACCTATTTTACTTAAATAAAAGCATCTAAATACAGAAAAGAACCTCCCATTTTTGTGAATATGCATAGGAAATATGGCCAAGTGACAGGTATCCAAAGCTGAATCTCTAAGGTGTCATATATTTCTAGCTTTGGCAGATTTTGTTGTGTAATGGGTTTTTGCCTTCTACTATAAAGTAAGATCAGACAGTGTGTGGTATTATTTCAAAGGATTCAGCTCCCTTATTTATTGACCAATTTCTCTGAAAATTGGATGGGTTGCTTCTCAAATGTGTGTTCACAAAACCGTATCTCAGATTTTTGATATCTAGCTTAGTTTTGGAATTATTGAGGAAAATGTTAAATTAGGCTAATAAATTGATAATATTGAAGAGCAAATGGCTGTAACTTTTGAATTAGAAGATTTATAAAAAATCTGAGATACAGTTTTTAAGTTCAATCTTTAATCTACCTTGAGGCAAAATGACCACTTTGAGGGGTTAAATACAAAAAAGGTTGATTTATAAAATATTTATGCACTAAAATTTACATTAATATTTAAATAATTTTTAAATAAGTTATTAATTAAAGTTTAAATTAGGATAATTAAATAGTAAATTTAACAAGCTTTCAAATGATATATACCTTTATTATGTTATCTTTGATAATGAAAGAATTACATGTAAATTAAATTCTGGCATTTGGAAACCTTTGGTGTATCCTTAAAAGAATTGCATTAATTGAAACATAGCTTTCTTAACAAGCAGTTGTTAAGAAAATATCTTGAACATACTCCTAATCTTTTTATTAAAAAGTTAAGACATTTTTCCCAATGTTTCCTGAGTTGTCTAGCCTTGGTCCTCTAACAACTAGTTGTTAAGAAAAGAATATTTCATTAAACTTGTATGTGCTATATTTGCTTAATAATTTTAATTGATTGTCAATTGTCAATTTTTATCCCGGTTTTCTAGCAAATTTTAAAAGGATTCCATGGACCTACTTCTAGCATCCTTAGCAAGCAGTTGTTAAGACTTTATTCCGTTTGACTTCCTTTCCATTTCTAACAACCAGTTGTTAAGAATATATCCTGTGAAATTCTTCTGGTATTCTTAACAAGCAGTTGTTAAGACTTTATTCCGTTTGACTTCCTTTCCATTTCTAACAACCAGTTGTTAAGAATATATCTTGTGAAATTCTTTTGGTATTCTTAACAAGCAGTTGTTAAGACTTTATTCTGTTTGTCTTCCTTTGCATTTCTAACAACCAGTTGTTAAGAATATATCTTGTGAAATTCTTTTGGTATTCTTAACAAGCAGTTGTTAAGACTTTATTCCGTTTGACTTCCTTTCCATTTCTAACAACCAGTTGTTAAGAATATATCTTGTGAAATTCTTTTGGTATTCTTAACAAGCACTTGTTAAGACTTTATTCCGTTTGACTTCCTTTCCATTCCTAACAACCAGTTGTTAAGAATATACCTTGTGAAATTTTTTTGGTATTCTTAACAAGCAGTTGTTAAGACTTTATTCTGTTCATCTTCCTTTGCATTTCTAACAACCAGTTGTTAAGAATATATCTTGTGGAATTCTTTGGGTAGTCTTAACAAACAGTTGTTAAAACTCTGTATAAAAGTGTAACAGTTTTACTTAATTTTATTTAACAAGCAATTATTTAAGAATTCCTTCAGCTTATTTTTCATGTTCTTAACAAACAGTTGTTAAGACATGCCAGATATATAATGGTTTCTTTAACAAGCATTTGGTAAGAATTGGAAAATAAATTGTTTAAAGTATGCATAGATTTCAGTTGTCTTTTTTGTACTTAACAACCATACACAGCTTTTGATCAAATGGAATTGATCAAGTTAAAATGGAAGGTGTTAATGGCTATACCATGAGCTCTGCATGTTCCAATACTTAAAAATTTATAGAAATAAACAATCCCCTGTGTAAAGATTTTTCAAAATTTTAAGCTAAAATTGAGCCTTTGCAACCAATTTACTGCATCATAGTCTGTAAATTATGACACATCTTAAAATAATTCATAGAAAAGCATAAAATATAGCAGTAGGATTTATTGCGGAAAAGTAAAGTTTTTTTTTCTCAGAAAAGCAGTCTTGATTTGTGGAAAAGTGGAACATTTGAATAAATACTTCTGCATTTATTTTTGACTCTCAAAAATTCAACTAATCTTATAGTTGAGCATATACTGTAAATTCCTTATTTTACGCGAGTACTTAATATCGCGAAGTGGCCCAAGGGCGTCAAACCGCAAGAACAATAATTCGCGAATGGGTGATTTATCTACAGATTTTACATACATTAAAGTACCATAAAAATAAAGCATGTAATTTTATTTCGCGAGTGGCGCTTCTCGCGTAATAACGCGATAATTTATTCCTCGCATATATTTAGGAATCTACAGTATGGTAAAAGTGTAAAACTTCACAAGGAGATTTTACAATGACCAAGCTAATTAATGTTTCCCTTTCAGTAGTACCTGAGGTCACTGTTTTCTGGCTCTCTTCCATGGGATGGTAAGACTCAAACTCCTGGAAGTCATCTGAGGCTACACTGTTAGGATCTGTATCAATTTTTGAAGACTGTGTATTGTTCACTATCTCTTCATCCTCCAACTCCTGCAAACACAATAAAAGAAAAAAATAATACATATTTACTCTACAGAAGTACTATGGGGATTGTAAATGAACTTAACAAGAGGCCACAACACTCAGCTTAATCACCCTCATCCTGCTGTTCTTCTGAGGAAAATTTTAAAAAGATTTTTTCCCCTTTTTTATCCATAGAAAAATGTTGACTCCATATTGTTGCCCCTACCTAGCCTAAAGGGGTTATGTTTTAACCAACTTGAATCCACACAACATTGGGATGTATTAATATCAATATATGGCTTTGGTGTTCTGTAGAAAGAGATTTCTTTCCTGTTCACTAGCTAGCAATATGTAAAATCTGATCTCCCATTATAGCCCCACCTAACCCCAGGTCAATACTTTGATTAAACAAGAGGCCCAATGGCTTAACAGTCACTCAAATTAATTGTTTATTTATATTTTCTTTATTCATAGTTGATAATCAAAGGAGAATCACTTCTCTCAGAGTAAATCAATGGACCCTGCCCTAGCACCAGAAACCCTTAACCTGAAGCCAAGAATTTCAAAATTTAGACAGAGGTACCTTTGATCATAACCATGCACTTACTTTGTCTGCTAAATACCTAGATACAGAGAAGATTTTCAATGAATAAATGAATTTTCACTATATGATCATTATAGCCTCATTCAAATACCATAACCCTTAACCCCGGGGCTATGAATTCACAATTTATGTAGAGGCACTCTTATTTCTCAAATCCATGCACTTAGTTTGTAGGCTTAATACCCAGTAACAGAGAAGAAGATTTTTAAAGAATGAATGCTTTTTCACTTACTGATAATGATCATTTGAGCTCTGCCCTTAAACCAGAACCCTTAACCCCGAGTCCTGAATTTCATAATTTTGGAAGAGGCACATAAGTTGATTATTATAACCATGCACTTGGTTTGTCTGTTAAATATACAGGGGAAGAGAAGAAGCTTTTTAAAGAATTATGCATTTCATTATATGATCAAAAGAGCCCCGCCTTAACACCAAAACCCCTCACCCAGGGACCATAAAATTCAAAATTTTGGTAGAGGGCTCAATGCTTAGTTAAATCATGCCTGATTAATTGACTGTTTGAAATCCAGGAGTAAAGAAGAAAATTTTGAAGACTGCATTTATTTTCATGGTTTTAATCCCATCCTTCATGCCCCAGGGAAGCAGATACCATGAAATTCATAATTTTTGCTGTAGCCCATATATGAACAAAATTGGTTGAAATTGGTTCAGCGGTTCTAGAAAAGCTAAAAGTGTTCAAAGGTTTACAATTGACCCTCATTGTACACAACAAAAGCTTTGATCACCTATTGTGGCCCCACCCTACCCCCGTGGGTCATGATTTGAATAAATTTGAATCTACAGTACCTGGTGATGCTTTCATATCAATATGCAAATCATGATTAGCTTTGTTGTTCTTGAATAGAAGATTTTTAAAGATATTTTTCCTATATATTCCTTTGTAAAACTTTGATCCCCCATTGTGGACCCATCCTAACCCTGGGGGTCAAGATCTGGACAAATCTGAATCTACATTATGTAATGAAGGTTTCAAATAAGTTTCATCCTTTCTGGCCCACTGGTTCCTAAAAAGAAGATTTTTAAGAGATGCCACCAAATTTTCACTAATTCTTAATTATCTCCCCTTGAAAGAAGGCATGGCCCTTCATTTAAACAAACTTGCATCCCCTTTACCCAAGGATCCTTTGTGGCAAGTTTGGTTGAAATTGGCCCAGAGGTTCTGGAGAAGAAGTTGAAAATGTGAAAAGTTTACAGATAGATGGACAAGACAAAATGTGACCAGAAAATCTCACTTGAACTTTCAACTCAGGTGAGCTAAAAATGTGAAAAGTTTACAACAATAACAAGGAAGGATGACAATAGGCAACAGACCAATTTTGATTAGAAAAGCTCACTTGAGCCGAAGGCTCATGTGAGCTAACAAGAAGTCTGTGAGCCAATGCTCACTAGTAATACCCCCGCTCTGATGTGAATCCCACCATATGGCATGCTTAGACAAAGATTGTGCTAAAATTTCAGTAGTTGAAAGTAGTTGCTGAGAAATTTGGTATGGACAGACACATGGAAAAAAGGAAGTTGACATCAGATTTGTACAAAAATAAATCCCACTATGTGGAAATCCTAGACAAAAAGTGTACTAAAATTTCAAGCATAGACAAATCGACAAAGGGTAGTTGTTGAGAAAATTGTGATGAAAATTTGTTACGGTTAGATCGAGGATAAACAGGAAGTTGACATCGGATTTGCACAAAAATGAATCAAACCATATGGCGTGCCTAGACAAAGAGTGTACAAAAATTTCAAGCATCTGCAATGAGTAGCTGCTGAGAAAACTGCGACCAAAATTTGGTATGGACAGACGCATGGATAAACAGGAAGTTGACATCAGATTTTTACAAAAATGAATCCCACCACATGGCATGCCTAGACAAAGAGTGTGCTAAAATTTCAAGCATATGCGATGAGTAGTTGCTGAGAAAACTGCAATGAAAATGTGTTATGGACAGACACACAAGGGTAAAACAGTACACCCCCTCTCCTTTGGAGTGGGGGTATAAAAAAAGGACCTGTTGGAAAGGCCAATTCACTGTGCTATGAATGTGCCCAATCCAAGAGACAATTGATAAGATGGGACTGTAGCCACAAAGGTGACAAATGGCACTGATCTGTGACAACTTGCATATATGATGAACTCGTCCAATGGCATTCTACCTGACATTCATTTGCCAATCCTGCTGCAGTGCATGCAAGTATATTTGCTTATTAATAAATATCATTGTGGCTGAAGAGCATCACTCATTATTCTTTTGTCAGGTAATATAATCCGACAATTTAAACTTATTATCTTTAAATATACACTCATCAGGCTTTTCCAAGACAAGCTCTAATGTTTTCATTTACCTTTTGAATAAAATTTCATGTTTCTAAACTAAGTAAATCGACCCCTGGCTTCATTTTAGATGACTCCTCTAGGGCTTGAGTTAAACAAAAGATCCATTCAACCCAAGGACCCCCAAAACAAATCATAGCCAATCCATAGTGCCGATATAAATATCCAAACCCAAATCATTCTAAAATCTATGTATGGAAAGAAAAACAAGAGGCCCATGGGCCACAATGCTCACCTGAGTAACTTTGGCCTTGCTGTTTTTCACCTGATCCCCCCCCCCCCTTGTAGTACTTATTGTGGCCATGCCCTCCCCCAGGGGTCATGATTTGACCAATTAGAATCTACACTACCCCAGGATGCTTCCACATAAGTTTCAGCCTTTCTGGTCCAGTGGTTCTTTAGAAGATTTTTAAAGATTTTTTCTGCATATTTCAATGTAAAACTTGGATTTCCTATTGTGGCCCTGCCCTACCCCCAGGGGTCATGATTTGACCAATTATAATTCTACACTACCCTAGGATGCTTCCACATAAGTTTCAGTTTTTCTGGCCCAGTGGTTCTTGAGAAGAAGATTTTTAAAGATTTTTTCTGCATATTTCAATGTAAAACTTGGATTCCCTATTGTGGCCCCGCCCTACCCCTCAGGGGTCATGATTTGAACAATTTAGAATCTACGCTACCCCAGGATGCTTCCATATAAGTTTTCTGGCCCAGTGGTTCTTGAGAGGAAGATTTTTAAAGATTTTTACTACATATTTCAATGTAAAACTTGGATTCCCTATTGTGACCCCGTCGTACCCCCGGGTGTCATGATTTGAACAATTTAGAATCTACACTACCCCAGGATGCTTCCACATAAGTTTCAGCTTTTCTGGCCCAGTGGTTCTTGAGATGATTTTTAAAGATTTTTTCTGCATATTTCAATGTAAAACTTGGATTCCCTATTGTGGCCCCGCCCTACCCCTCAGGGGTCATGATTTGAACAATTTAGAATCTGCACTTCCCCAGGATGCTTCCACATAAGTTTCAGCCTTTATCACCCAGTGGTTCTTGAGAAGAAGATTTTTAAAGATTTTTACTACATATTTCAATGTAAAACTTGGATTCCCTATTGTGGCCCCGCCCTACCCCTTGGGGGTCATGATTTTAACAATTTAGAATCTAAACTACCCCAGGATGCTTCCACATAAGTTTCAGCCTTTCTGGCCCAGTGGTTCTTGAGGAGAAGATTTTTTAATGACCCCACCCAATTTTTGTCTTTTCTTGATTATCTCCCCTTTGAAGGGGACTTGGCCCTTCATTTTAACAATTTAAACTTCCCTTCACCCAAGGATGCTTTGTACCAAGTTTGGTTAAAATTGGCCCAGTGGTTCTTGGGAAGAAGTTGAAAATGTGAAAAGTTTACAGATGGATGGACAGACAGACGGACGGACAGAAGGGGAGACAGACGGATGGACGGACAATGGGTGATCAGAAAAGCTCACTTGAGCTTTCAGCTCAGGTAAGCTAAAAAGGATAAATAGCAGACAAATTGTTCACTGACAATATCAATTGTAGCCTTGCATGAAATAGATATGTTATAAATCTGACCTCGTCCGTGTCCCCTCTCAGTAGAGGTTTCTTTTCTCTGCGGTTCTGCTCCTCCTGAAGTGTATTTAAAGGTTTTACAGCCTTCACTCCATGGGGGCTCAAGGCAGACTTCGCCAGAGCTGTTTAAATAGAAAAAAAAAATAATACTTAGAGAAACCGAATTTTTCTTGTGGATAAAATTTTGTTGATTTATGATCTAATATGATTTTGTTTGGACATAATTTCCTTATTTCACAAATAACTACCAGGTATAACATTACAATGTCCAGGAAAATTTCATTTGGAATTTAATATTGTTGATAAATGCTACCAACAAAATAAATGAAATTTAATCTTAAACAAATTGTCAAACTGTATTTCAAAGGAAATTTTATTTAATAGACAAACCAGTATCATTCTGATAAACTTCAGCAAGACAATCTAGCACATGCATTTTTTAAAACTGCAAAGATTAATAAATTACATAAAAGCAAACTTTTCCTGTTTGCATTCATGTATCTAATTTCATATTTTTAAAGAAAAAGGAGTTTTCTAACACAAAATACATAAACATAATAAATAATCATATTACAGAAATAAAATGTAATGACATACAGTAAAACAAACTTACAGCAAACATAGCTATAACGAATTCTCACTTACAGCAAAGTGATTTTCATTCATTGTAGTTTTTAGCTGCAGATCTGTAGCTCACTGGTCTAAAAAATTTGGAATGGATGACCAGAGAGCTACAGTGCCATGCATTGAAAAATGTGTATATTTATTGCACACAAAAAAGTGTGCCATTTCTTGATTTATTTCTCTCATGGTATATTTAAACTGCAATCTCAAATTATTACGGAGTGTTCTTAACATATTCAAATTTTTTTTTTTTAACTATTTCCACAACAAAACATTCCCCATAACTGTTGCCAACTGCACTCCTGGCCCTGAAATTGAGACCATCAAAAATTTTGCTTATTTATAAGACCACGGAACATTAACTGGCAAAATTGGAAATATACAGCTTACGTCTTTTCCATCTATTACAGTCAAAACATTTAATGATAGACAATGAAATGGGCGGGTACAATTTGGCACAGACGTCTGAGAAAACATCGGATTGAAATTCTAGTTTGAAATTCATTTTCAATCCACCTGAGCTGTTTTCAAACGCAGAGTGTGAATGTATGATCCAAAAGACAAATAATTTAAATTCCCAAATACATGTTGTTTGAAATTCATATTTATCATTGTTTAACGAGTTTTTAGCCTATAATTTTATGGACACGTAAAAGTCATAGAAGACAAAACATTTTTTAGGGGATGGCTATTTGATTCTAGAAAGAGGGGGGGGGGGGGGGGGGGGGGTAAAAAATTGTCGAGTCAGATCATGCCTTCACATGACAAAATATATTTATTTCTAGGATGACAAGAGGTATTTTCTTTAGTTTTGTCTTCACTGAAAAATGTTTGACAATCAGAAACAGGGAGGGGCTTGTCCAAAATAAAAAAACTTTCTTTTTTATTTTCAAGATCGTTCAGCGATTGTCCCCCCCCCCCCCCCCATTATCTATCATTAAATGTTTTGATTGTAACAGATGGAAATGACGTAAGCTGCATATTTCCAATTTTGCCAGTTAATGTTCCGCGGTCTTATTACCATCTTTGGTGGCAAGACAATTCAGTCCAACATACTTTTTGCAGATGTCAACTACAAAAGTAGTTGATTCAGGTCAACTACAAGAGTAGTTGATTCAGGTCTAAGGAACACTATTGAAGAATAACATTTCAACCATTTACTATGTAATACACCTTTTTGGACTAAATATTTGAATGTTATTATTGATTGATTTAAATCTTATTTCTCAATATTTCAAAAATATAGTCAATAAGCTAATGTAAATAAACTACTGCTCTTAAGCAGCAGATTTTTTTTTCTTTAAAAAATTCCCCTATTTAATTTTATAAAAAAATGATTCCATGGGGCTATGATTTAACAAGAGGCCCATGGGCCTTGAATCGCTCTTCTGATAAACTGTACAACCTATCACTTCTATTTGAAGCCTCGAAGTATCCTGTATATTTACATAAACCCTTGAAATTCCAATTCACACTCTGAGAACCCAAGATGATTCTAAGCCAATTAGTACCTGAGAGTTGGTCATGGTAACCTACTTATCACTTGTCATTCTCTGGGGACCCATCAACTAAGTTTGATGATTCTAAGCCAATTAATACCTAAAATATTTTTTAAAATTATAATCATAAAATTTTATAAGTAGGTCAAAGTGACCTACTTTTCAATTGTTTTACTCCAAGGACCCAAGATGCATCAACTGACAAAGTTTGATGATTCTAAGCCAATTAGTACCTGTAATATTTAATTAAAGCCATAAATTTTCAAAAGTAGGTCACCGTGACCTACTTTTCAGTTGCTGTACTCCGAGGACCAAAGATACATCGACTGACAAAGTTTGATGATTCTAGCCAATAAGTACTCAAAATATTTAATTACAGCCATAAATTTTCAAAAGAAGGTCACAATGACCTTCTTTTCAGTCAGCCTACTCCGAGGACCAAAGATGCATCAACTGACAAATTTTGACGATTCTAAGCCAAATAATTCCTGAAAATATTAAATACAGCCATAAAATTTCAAAAGTGGGTCACCATGACCTACTTTTCAGTTGTTGTACTCCGAGGACCCAAGATGCATCAACTGACAAAGTTTAATGATTCTAAGCCAATTAGTACCCAAAATATTTGATTAAAGCCATAAATTTTCAAAAGTAGGTCACCGTGACCTACTTTTCAGTTGTTGTACTCCGAGGACCCATGACGCATAAACTGACAAAGTTTTATGATTCTAAGCCAATTAGTACCCGAAATATTTGATTAAAGCCATAAATTTTCAAAAGTAGGTCACGGTGACCTACTTTTTAGTTGACCTACTCTGAAGACCCATGACGCATCAACTGACAAAGTTTGATGATTCTAAGCCAATAAGTACCCGAAATATTTAATTAAAGCCATAAATTTTCAAAAGTAGGTCACTGTGACCTACTTTTTAGTCGACCTACTCCGAAGACCCAAGATGCATCAACTGACAAAGTTTGATGATTCTAAGCCAATTAGTACCTGAAATATTTAATTATAGTCATATAAATTCAAAAGTAGGTCACGGTGACCTACTTTTCAGTTGACCTTTTTTGAGGACCCAAGATGCATCAACTTACAAAGTTTTATGATCATAGGACTTAAAATGTCCAAATTATGCCTCTAAAACGCTTTGAAATCGAATGCCTGCAAAGTTCAAAAAGTAGGTCACTGTGACCTACTTTTTAATAAATATGTTTTATGGCCCCAAGATGCATCATCTTACAAGATTTAATGATTCTAAGCCTCCCCGTATTCGAATTAATGACCTTAATTGTTTTAAAAAAGATTAGCCATAAAATTCAAAAAGTAGGTCAAGGTGACCTACTTTTTAGTTGACGTACTTTGAGGACCCAAGATGCATCAACTGACAAAGTTTGATGATCATAGGCCTTAAATTCTTCAAAATATGCCTCTAAATCATTTTGAAAAAGAATGGCCGCAAAATTTAAAAAGTAGGTCACCGTGACCTACTTTTGAGTCAACATGATATGAGGTCCTTAGATGCACCAACTGACAAGATTTGATGATCCTAGTCCTTATAGTAAGCAAAATATCAACATTTTAATAAAATGTAATTTTTGGTCAACTTTGAAGTGACCTTGAGACCACGCCCTTTGCCCCAGGGTAAATCCCCGTGCAAATTTTAATCTACAACATATCCTCATCCTTTTGTGTAAGTTTGGTGATAATCTGCCCAGTGGTTCTTGAGAAGAAGATTTTTTAGCAACCAGTACTTTTGTTTCTATTTTCCTAATTATCTCCCCTTGTTAAAGGGTCACAACCCCAGTTTTAGTATAAAAGGGAGCCCTTGGGCCAAGGATACCCTGTGACAAATTTGACAATAATTGGCCAAGGGGTTCTTGAGTTATGGCCCATATTCTAAAAAGTTTACGCACACCGCACAAATGGCCATAGCATAAGCTCTTTGAGCCTTTGGCTCAGAAGAGCTAATCACAGTTGAATCCATACAACGTTCGTATGCTTCAATATCAAAATGACTAGCATGGTCTAGCTGCAGAACTGTAGTGTTTATATGGTTTTATATTTTAGTCTTTGACCATAACACTACAGATCTGTAATGTAAATAAAGTGCAATGTATGGCGTAAGATTTTCTGCGCACTTTAGGGATGTATTTCGCCACTTTCCAGCATCAATCAAGGACCTTTCATTCCCTAACTCTAGACATATTCTATAACCAACCTGTATGTTTTATCCACCTTCTAAACCTTTATAGTTGTCTCTACAGACCAATAAACTCGCTTGTTGTTAATTTGTTGTCGGATGGCATAATGAGTTTAACAAGAGGCCCAAGGGCCTTAATGGTCACCTGAGTACTACAATTTAGAGGATCCATAAACTGATAAATGAAGCTTTGTTGCCCAATAGCAAGAAAAATAGTACGATTAAGATCAACAAAATAATTGGTCTAGTATCTTTCTATCTGTCACCCATTTATCACTTTTACCACGCCGACTTTTAACAAAATGTCTATATTATTACCTCTCACTTTGGCCTCACTTGGCCTTTGAAGAACATTTAAAAAGATAAGTTATTTTTGTTTCATTTTTATTCATCTATTATTTCCAAGTCTACCTGTTTATTAAAACTATGAATTAAGTACTTTTTGTATTATACAATAAATGTTCTTGCATAATTCTCTTATTCTATTAACCTTTCAAATACATTATCTACAGTGATTAATTATCAAAGGTGAATGGCAAAGGGGAATAACTTCACTCAGTAGAATACAAATTAATAGAGCCCTGGCAAGGACCAGAACTTTTGACTAAATGGTCCAGATGTTCAAAATTCTGGTAAAAATACCCTTGCTTATTAAATCTTTTACTCTGTTGGCTTCCAATATGCCCAGGAGCAGAGGAGATTTTCAAAGAATTAATGCATTTTCACTATTTAACACAGCCCTACCTGAACCCATGATCTAGGGTCATGAAAATTTACAAATTTGGAAGAGGTACC